ACATTTTTAATCTCTTCAGCCGTGGCAATCTTTTTTCCCTCATTTTTTTCTGGCGAAAAACGTTGGGTTTTTAAGTGCTTCATTAAATCTCTGCATCCAGAAGGGAAAATGTCTTCCTCAAAATGATTTTTCCCCCTTTTTTTTGCTGGCATTCAACCTAGGAGTGGTAGCATTTTTCTATGTGAAGCTTTGTGTGGGAAGATCTCATGGAAAAAAGAGCTGTAATTTTAGATGTTTGGATCCTTGTTCCAAGGGGAGAAAAAAAACTTCAAGATGTACTTATGTGGCGAATTTAAAAAGTGGTGTGTAACTCAGAAACCACCCAAAACGTAAGTCCTCCATCCGGGAAGACCCACGTTTCAGCACCAGCGTTCATTCACAGCCCCTTCGATCGCTGTGCGTAAGGCAGGCCGTTGCCCTTCTCCTTCCCTTTCCTGCGCTCCACTCAAAACCATGGAAAATCAATCAGGGTTTCTTAGCTTGGTGGCAACTGCTTCTCGTCCTCAGCTGCATCTCTGCAAAAGGGAAAAAAATGTGGAAACGTCTTCTGGGCGGTCTAGTGCCATGGGATCTGAAGCAAGGGCATCCGGGGGGACGGTCAATAAAGTCAAAATGGCAGTTTCGGTGGCATAGTCGCCACTGCCATCTAGACTGCTTTTGACCTTTCCCTGGAGACATCTCTGTTCACAAGCTAGGATCTGAGCGTGGGATTGTATTTTCCTGGAAATTCCAGGCTGGCTGGGGAATTCTGGGAGTCGGAGGTCCGCACACCTTAAAGTTGTCAAGGTTGAGAAGCATGGGTTTAGTGTTTAGGTTGTTGGGCTAGGAGTGGGGAGACCCAAGTCCATGTCCATTCCCACCACAGAAGTTCCCCTGGTGACCTTGGGCCGGTCAGGAAAGCCTACCTCACAGGGTTGTGGTGAGAATAAAACGAAAGGGGATATCCATGTAAGCTCCTGGAGCTGCTGGAGAAACAGGATGATCCTGATGGATGATGATAACGGGGGCTCACAGAAGAGGGGAAGTCATTGCAAGGAGAGGAATGGGGCTTCACTTTGAAACTTAGCGGGCACAATTTTGGCAGCTCCACTCTCCACCCTGCTTTCACTCCTTTTGGCCACCAGCTTAGGCAGCATGGAACTCGCGAGAGCTGCCTGATGGCCAGGGGTGTCTATAGGGAGGGTCAAGAAAGTCAAGATGGCAGCCACAAGTTCTACCTGGTTTTTATATCAGATGCACCATCATGGCCTCTACCTTGACTTTTCTGAGCCTACCCTAAAGACACCCATGCTGGGGGCCACCACGTACCGCACAGCAGCCCTTGGCTAATAGAAGCCATGAGCACAATGTGCCTGTTGTTGGATTAATACATCGCACCACAGCCTCATCCAGGTGACAGCCTGAAGCTGCTGAGCCCGGCTGGAAATGAAGTGGCTTGATATGGTGGCCCTGATTTTAATCCATTCCCGGCCACAATGCCAGCCAGATGTTCTGTCCGGATGGTGCCTCCCACAGGCGCTGATTGGTGGATTTCCCATCTGTGGGCAGGTCTTTGAGAAGCCAAGGTTGCCGCCCATCAGTTTTCCCATAAGGAAAAAATTGGGGAAGCACTGGCTTTAATCCTACCTTTTTTTATATGTGATGAGCATCATTTCTCCACAGAGATCTTTCAAACGCAATTTGTGTTAGAAGAACTTTATATGCTAAATACATTCTGTGGATGAGTCAGAAAACAGAAATCTGGCTATACTGATTCATGTTACTAGATTAAAGGAAGAAAGACCGTTCAGAACAGTGACCTGTTTTGATTACTGGAAGGCAAAAAATCGATGCGTTTCTAAACACCCAAGCTTTTTACATGCCATAATGAATTATCTCGAGTGTTACGTCGAATGCTCAGGTTTACAGTAAAAAATGCTTTTGAACAAGAGGAGGCTTGTTGGATTCCCCTATAATGGGCAGTGGGTGTTTTGTGGTGTGGAGTCCACTTTGAAATAACCACCTCAGATGTCATTTCAAAACATCTAAACACGGGCCGCGTGAATGCAGCACGGAGGGTCAGATTTGAGAAGGAGCCCACCACGACAGCGTTTTCATGCAGTCGCTTTGGGGCTTTTTCTGTGGTCAGAATCCACCCAGGACTTTTGCTTTAATGAGGCCCAAGGAGGCTCAAGGTATTTTCTCTCTCTATAATCCGCAAATGCCACTGGGGCCGAAAGGAGAGCGTGACCCCCTCCAAGACACCGTTTCTCGGCCTGACGCCCGCTTGCCAGGAGTTCGGCTGCCCAGCAACTTCAGTGCTCCCCTTCCAAATCCCTGGTCTTGTTTGCTTCAGTTGCAGTCTTGTCTAGGCCTTACCCCGGGGGTCGGCGCAAGCATGTGCACGCGCAGTTCCTTTGCTTTGTCTGCAGTCCGGGGGAAGCTGTCTGAGCACACCTGCGTGCTGGAAAAACCTGCGACGCAGCTGCCCTGAACTTTGGGAAGATATAGCTACCACCGCGCTGCGAAAGGAGGGGCGCTTCAGTGCAGCAATGCATCGGTGGGCTTTGCTAAGAGCCCCTTGGAAAGGCTGAGGGTGGCCCGTTAGAAATGCCTGGAGGAAGGCACTGGGCTGGCTGGCCCCTAAGGAGTCTCCCAACTCTGTCATTTTGTGAAGGCTTTGCAGAGCCTTCATATATCGTTCCCGGTGTATAGTGGCTTTTCCGGAGAGGGAGGGCCTTGGCAAACCAGGGCCCGCTTCTCTTCTCCTTCCCTGCACCATCATCCCTACAGCGCATATGCACACCCCACATCCTGGGAGTCAAGGTAAGCCCTTGAGCAAAAGGAGGAAGGGACATCGAAAGTCTACATTTAGCAGGTTAATCAACTTAGGGATGGGGAGATACAATACAGCAGTGTTTCTCAACCGTGGCAACTTGAAGATGTGTGGACTTCGACTCCCAGAAGCTGGCTGGGGAATTCTGGGAGTTGGTCCACACATCTTCAAGTTGCCAAGGTTGAGAAACCCGGTAACAGACACTATTGTACCACAGCTCCCAGATTGTCTCCACCACTGGCCCTGCCAACTGGGGCTACTAAGACTGGTGGTTTGGCAACTTCTTGGCTTTGACTTAAAGAATTAGCATTTTCCTTTCTGTCTTTACAGAGCATCAGGGTTGGAAGAGGTCATTTCCCAGTCCTCGATCTTGTGACTGGACATTCAACAGGGAGTCAGTTATATCTTAGAGGTGGACAAGCCAACTTGTGTTTTGCCTTGACAGAAGACCCTTTCTTTTATCCTGTGGATGATGGCTAATTCTGCCATGTTATATCGTGATTGGGTTCATGCAACATTTTCTACCAGCTCATTGAAAGATCTGGTACCTGCATTCACACGATGTGTGAAAAGTTGGCTAACGTTAACCTTGTTGAGGTGTTGTGGTATTTTTGTGGCTTAGAGTGTTGCGTCGAAACTAAAAGGTTCATTTCATTTCTATGTATGGTGCAAATCCTGGAGAATAAATGTAGCTTTTGAGAGCTAGTAAACTGAGGCAGGCAGCTAAGCAGGAGTCAAAAAAGTCAAGATGGAGACTGTGACTGTGCAGTTGAAGCCCAGCTCCTATTTTATGTTGTCACATGTGCGGTGCAGTTTTTAAAAAAGGCAGAGCTTCAATCACACAGCATGGCCACCGTCTTGACCTTTTTGACCTTCATAGGAGACACGCCTGCAGCTAAGTGCAGGAGTTGTCAGCCACCAAATTTCTCTGCTCTGAATTTCATCTTAGCCACGAATTCACAACGTATCCCTTGGTCCCCTGAGCTATCATTCCTCTGCTGCCCCTGTTTGCCACACGAATCTATGAGGATCTGTCGGCCCCACGCCTTCGAGCTGCATGAACAACCAAGAAACTCTCATTCGTAACGTGGAAGGGGAAGAGGACAGGGCAAGAATTCCAACCGGAGCTTTATGCTTTCACACGTGAACCTTAAAAATAGGCTCCATTCTCCTCCTCCAGCAAGACTGTTAGCCCTACTGGAGGCATAAGCAGGCAGTGGGTGCCCAGTATGTCCAGATGTGCGAGGCGAAGGCATCGCCGAGTCAGGGCATTCTCGGTGGTGGTCCCCAACTCGTGGACCTCAGGAGGCTCCTCTGTCCCCCTAACAGATTTCACGCTGGCGGTTGCACTATTATCTTCTCTCCTCTGCTCCCACCTCACCAAAAGAGACAAGGTGGCAATAACGGCATTGCACTGAAACCCCACCCCTTTGAACATGTGTGCAACATCAATGTCCATTCAAAATGGGTGGGGCCTGACTACCATGACAACCCATCTGGCCTTTTTGGACTCCTCCCCGCTGCCCCAAGGATGCTGGCGTCCCACCCCCTCTTCATCGTCTTTGCAACATCCTCCTCCTCCCAAATCGTCCCACATCCTTCATGGTCCTAGTTTGATCACTGGCCACATCGAGATAGATTTCGTACTGTTGTAACTGCCTTTATTGCAATAATGACCAAATCTTTGCAGTTTCCATATGTGGAAGGGATAACTGAGCAATCCACATGGAGAGACTTGGATACTTAAAAAAAGACAATAAAATATGATTGTTTTTTCAACTTCATCCTCAAAGGAGCACCATCAGGAGCACTCAAGAACCAATCTCATGGTCTCAAAGTTAGAGTCTATTATATCACCAATGGGATCCACCTCCAAAATGTGTGTGTGTGTGTGTGTTTGTGTAGGGTTGAAGATGAAATTGTGCTCTTCTAGGGTAGTTTTATAGGTTTTCCCAGGGGCCACCCTGAAACTTAAATAATCTGTAAAGGCCCTTCAAAGCCACACTTGAAACATGGTTATTTCCCTTCCTTCTTTCCAGAGAAGACGAGGAATTTTTAGCAGAAGGTCAGATTCTGACCCAAGGAGCAAAGTAGATGTCTCTATGAATTGAGCCTTAATAAAAAGACAGCGACCCAAACATTTCTATAATGAAATCAATATTCCCTGGCATGATCTCTTTTCCAGATCAGGAAGTGTCCTACACCACTGGAGTGAAATCTATTACTTTGTGGAACATCTGGCTCACAAATTTATAAGGTAAGAAATTATGGCTGGGTGACAGCATGACAGATGGGTATCAGTGGGCTGAACCAGGGTTCCTCAACCTCGGCAACTTGAAGATGTGTGGACTTCAACTCCCAGAATTCCCATGGCTGG